GTGTCAAATATCCGACCTTAAAAACAATTATTCGCGGTCCCTCTTTTTATTCTTTTAACTCTATCGCCTTCCTGGGAATTTGAATCATTACGCGTTCAACATTCACAAGAATGAGGGTGTGAGGTCAGAGTGGCGGTCAGGGGAAAACACCTAACGTCTTCGCAGTGTTTCTGGGATGCACCTAAATAGCATATACCGTAACTGCGCTCAACTCAACCCTGCTGCTGCAGGAGGGGCAGCTCGGAATCATTCGATGTTGCCAAGTTTAGTGACGGGCTGTACCAGGTGGAGCGGCTCAGAATAGCTCTGACATGAACTGATTCAAATGCTGAGACCCGTGTTGCAACTATAGAGGTCTATTAACCGCAGAGTCAAGTGCGTCACGCTACAGCTTTACGGGAACATATTGCCTTGTTTTATGCACATTTGGCACTGTATAAGAGACAAGTGCGCGCAGGCACCAGAGAAATTGAAGCTTATCATTGAGCCAATTCAGACACAGGAGCGAATTTTAAACAATTCTGCTTTGAATCTTTAAAGGAGTGTTTTGCATTTAAGTTATACTATGGGACAACAAGGATCCAAATCCTCCATTGAAGCGCGGGTGATTTTTCAGCGCGTTGGCACGGTGGACATGTATCATAGAATCGGCGAATGTTGTTCTACACCCTCAATTGTCCGTATTCAGAAAAAGGTAACCAGTCAGTCGGCGAGTCCAGACTCTTCCCCCCGGTCAATGGAGAAGTCAACAACTAATTCTTGGTCCCAAAGCCGCGGTGACACCGGGGGACTGGTGTACGTGATGGACAATCCAACTGGGGGCGTGTGGGTGAAGCCGGGAGAGAAATGGACCAGAACCTGATACACAAATGAAACATCCATTTGAAATGCACACAATTTATTCGATGGAATAAAGTGAAGCACCCCTTGCTTGGATGCACTGCCTCAAGCTCCTTCGTCTTCGGGCCAGGATGCATCTGATTTTGGCTCCTGTGCTGAGGGGCAGTGTGTGGAGTGACGGTGGATTTAAATCGTCTTAAGTGGGCTGGACTGATCACTGTCATTTATTGATTTAGTCTATAAGAGACATTCGTGTATTCAGTGTCAGACTGCTGGAGATTATGATGAAAGGAGGCGAAGAGTGCCATGCGCACTGAGATAACGTCTTTTCTTTTGAAACACAGAGTCATTGTTTTGTTTCCAACATTACTTTGAGCTGTTTTAGTTAGTAAGAATGGATGCATTGTGCAATACGTACAATGAGAAAAGGGTTTTTTGGTTGTGTCTGTACTTAGAGTTGGCTTCTTTGGTTAACACATTGATGGCAGCTCACATCATCCCCTATTTTAATGACCTACATGGGTTGTAAACACAGTGCACTTTTGCCAACTGTGCCGAGGTGAAAAGTTCATCCTGCTGATGGCCAACCTTTATTTATTTGTTCGTCCTTTTTGTTTGGTTGTGCCCTCCGTTTGGAATGTAAAATATATATTGAAATGGGCTTATACCAAGCAAATATCTTTATTAATATGCTGTATTATTTATGTTTTATATTGACAGTTTTATATTGATGTTGGTTTGAAAGTCATGGAATGGAGGTTGCTGACCCAACTTTAAAATGTAGTGGAAGTTTGCCCAATATGTCCCCTATAAACTGAAAGGTGTGACAGCACAAAGTTCAAGGGAGTTTTATAAATGTCTGGCAACTTTGAGGTTTGGGGAAATTGGTGTGAGGGATACATCATGCACTTGACATTTAACCCTCCTGTTATATTCGTTTTTTGTAACAGCAATAATATTCGTGGGTCAATTTGACCCAGTGCACGTTTAATTATCCAAAAATGGTCAGAAGCCCCAGAATCCAGATTTTCTTTTGTACATAGTTTGTACCTTTTATTACTATCAATGAAATTGTGTTATTCACCTCTCACAGATCATGGTTCCATTAGAATAAGTCACTCGTTTTTCACAAAACATATACATTCAAACACATTTTTCTATTTTCTTTTTTACATTGGAAAAACCTTGATATAAAATACATTAGTTTTGCATAACATAACATTTTTTTAATTACTTTTAAAATGTTCCAACTTTTTTTTCCAATTGGTTGATGTTGATAAATAGAGACGAGACACCTCTTCTGTTCAGGGTCAAATTGACCCGTTCACTTAGAATCAAGCCAAATGAGTCATAAGGATTTGTATTGAAAGTATTTTATTGTAACAGCAATTAAGAACGTGTGTGTATGTGTGTGTGTATGTATGTGTGTATGTGTGTGTGTGTGTGTGTGTGTGTGTGTGTGCATTTCTGACCCCTTTTAGCCTCCACTTTCACTGCCGGGTCAGATTGACCCGAATACCATCTCTGTGATATAGACATGTAGGGGTGGGGGGGTTCCAAATGCATGACATGAACCATTTTCATTTTACTTGTTTATTGCACTAATCAAGTGTCATACAAAAAAAATACTTGAATGTATTTTTCGTAGATTTTCAAACGGGTCAATTTTACCCTGAATGTAACAGGAGGGTTGTTAAGTCAGGAGGATGCCATTAAACTGTGTGGATGTTTGAAATGTATATGAAGGATGTAATGAATTAAACTTCCATATTATTTAAGAGAAGACTGTTTCCAGTTCAGTGAGGAACTGCATTTATTTATTTGCCAGGTGAAGTGTAGACATTGTGCCTTATGTTTACGCATTGTTTGTTAGTAACCCTAAAGCAACTGTTATGTTAATTATTGAACTGTGTCAGAATGTAATATTAGGCAAAGTATTCATGTGTGTGCAATGATATCCAAAGCGCTGTACACCATGGTCCTATAAAAACAAAACAAATGACTTATTTGACCTTTACCTGAACGTGCCTTATAAATCATTAACAGTAAGGTACTTTCTTTCAGAACAAGCTCTAACAATAAAACACTTTGAAACAAGAATATATCTGATCATCATTTCAATGTGCTTTTGGACTGTGTAAACTCAAGTAGCAGAATTTGTGCAGTAAACATTTGTTGTGTTTAAATAAAAGGTTGTATGATGATAAGATTAGCACTTCTACATTGCATACTGATACAAAAAGAATGCAGATCTCTTATACAGCGTATATAAACAAGGGATAGGCCCAGTGGCGGCCGGTCCATAGGGGCGCTAGGGGCGCCGCCCCACCTCTTCCCATATTGATAAAAATAAATAATAATTCAAATTAAAATAAAAAAAAAAAAATATGTTTAAAAAAATATATATGTTTTTATTTTTATTTTTAATGAACAAGGTAAATATTATATAATTGGTATCAGTAAAATGTATAATCTACAATAAAATCTCGTTTAAAATTGTGTTACGATGTCTAAAGTTACTGATAAGTCACATGTTTCCTGCCTGGCCTTGCCCATGCACCTTCTCTCGTCTGGGCGCTAAGAGAGGAGCCTTCAACCAGTGCAGCAGCAGCCACCAGCAGCTGACTGTTGCTATCTGTAACGTGTAAACTATGCCGCGAAAATATAATTTCAGCCAATTAGCGTCGTCAAAGATGACGGTCACCGGGCGCCAATGTCAGCGCCCAGTGCACTGCAGTCTGTGAGTAGTTTGGACAGTGACTCGTATCCGGTTGACGCAGTAGTTGATGAGGATGGCTTCGTGTGCAGGTGGAGTCTCCGGACCTCGGTCCGCGCCTAATTCTGTTCAAGAGCTAATCTCCAATCCTTTCGAAAGGAGAAGTTTGGCAGATAAATTGTTGCTTAAAGACCTTGCACCGGACCAACCCGATTTGAATATATCGCAGCAATCTCGTGAAAAAGACAACATTTATACACGAGGCTTCACAAGTAGCTGGTACACAAGAAAGGCTTGGCTAGCTGGATGCAAACAGGTAAATGCTGTCTTTTGTTTCCCATGCTTGGATATCACTTTATATGTAGAGAGGAGGTTTCCCATGGTTGTTAGAAGTTTATTAATAAGTGGGCATTTATCACAGAAGTGATTGTTCTGTCTCCACGTTTGTTGCATTGTCTGTGATGTATTTTCCAACGGTTATAGCTCCTGTTCTGTCCCAGCAACACTACACGGTTTGCAGCTCCACCACATTTTTGGTTTATCTTCGGTGTCGCTTAAAATCTGCTTCCCATCGGACTAAAACCTCCACGTAATCTGAAGACAGATACTTGAAGTTATTTAAACCTTTTGCAAACTTTATGTTCTTTCTTGCTCTAGCCTTGCCAGATACATTGTACATAACACATATATTATCATTATGCTAACTGGTTGTTCGTGTTAGACGATGTAGCTTTTTCATTTCTGAGTTATTGATATATGTAAATAAGCCTGTTTGTAAATAATCCTCAGAGAAACAAAGAAAAAACACAATTTATGACATTTTGTGCTGTGGTTATTTTTTTTAAATTGCATTTATTCACAGTTCAGTTTGAAATGCTGTAGTGACTTGTATTGAACCACTTAAATATTTATAATTAATGCTACTGAAAAGATGCTATTAATTTTATATCTCACATGCAGTTCACTGTAAAGCTACTTGGTGAAGGTGTTGGTTCATAAAACATGAACAGTTTTAAGAAAGAAAAAAACAGACCAGTTCTGAGAACACAAATTCCTGGTAAAGTAGTAGATGTTCAGGTTGATAAATAATATTTTCCACACTGAAGATTATGGAGGTATTGATCAGTCTTCTCATATTTTTAAGCCTCGATTTCTCCTTCCCCCCCCCTCTAACATCACCAGAAGTCATCATTTAAGGGGTCATTTCTCGAAAAAAAAATTCGGGGGGAAACCCCCCGGGTAGGTCACTTGCGGTACGTCAAGAGCCCCACCAAAAAAAAAGACCACCGGCCGCCACTGGATAGGCCTATCTTCTGGTTGGTACAAACTTTGCACCCTGTGGAACCTTATGGGTGAGTTATTGTCAGCATGGAGCTAATGGCTTATCTATAAAACTCTGGGCAACGCACTAAGCTAACATTACGTCAAAAGAGAACTGTAAGTGCCCACTTGAGTTGACTTGCTTTATATTTACACCGCCATGGGACTGAGAGGATCGAAACAACCGGAAGCCCAAGTCCTCCTCCTGGGCCTGGACAATGCTGGGAAATCGACTCTCCTTTACAAACTGAAACACAACACGTGCGTCACAACAGTTCCCACCATCGGCTTCAACGTGGAAATGCTCGAGGCGAGAAAGAACAGGAAAAACCTCTCACTAACCGTGTGGGATGTCGGTGGGCAGCGACAGATGCGCGAGCACTGGACCAAATTCCACCAGGACGCATCAGCCGTCGTGTTTGTTGTGGACAGCTCGTGCGGGGAGCGCATGGAGGAGGCGCGGAAAGAGCTGGAGAAAACTCTGGGGAGCGAGCAGCTGCGGGGCCGTCCACTGGTCCTACTGGCCAACAAACAGGACGTGAATGGCGCTCTGACTGTCACTGAAATCAAGGACACGTTTAACCTGAGGAAGATTTGCTCTGGTCGGGATTGGTTCGTTCAGCCTTGTTCCGCGTCCACTGGATTTGGGGTTGAAGAGGCCTTTAGGAGAGTGGTCCAAATGGTCAAATAAAACATGTATTTATATGAAATGTGTTTTTTTCAATGCATTGACAATATGATTAATTATTTTTTTGTACTGCATCCTTGTTGGAAAAACATAATCTCGCTAATAGCATTAGAGCTAGTGAACCCATTAGGCTAGGCTACTTCATAGGACACTATAATGGATACCACATGAAACACGAGATACCTTATGGTCTATTACTGTGCATTAGAGCCACACACACACACACACTTACCAGTGCAGCAGATCTTATGTCAATTATGAAACGGAATTATGTCATACAGCCATGTCATTTTGATATAGTACTGGGTTCATAAAGGCATCTGACTGACGCAGCATTCACATCAGCATGATAAGCAACAGACAAGTGCACATAGGCTAATGTTTGGGATAGACGCCTTCAGAAAAATGAATACTTCATGTGCAATAATGCAGTTTTCACAATAATCTAGTCTGTTGTGCTAAATGAGTTGTTTATATATTTGTATGAATTAAAGATAATTATAGAAGAGTTAAAGAGGCAAGAAGACAAAGTGTCAAATGTTATTTTTTACGACATAACACGAAAGTTCTTAATGATTTAAAGCAGCTGATTTAAAAAGCATTACCATAGCAGTTTAATTTATATAAGCAAAGTCATTGATAAATTGTGCAAAAGAATAAATACAGAACGTAGGCACTTGTCTGATACATTCCTCGGAACAAAGATAAATGACTGATACAATCCTTGGCGAGTATAGGTCATGTAGGCTACGCTCAGACGCACACAGTAGAGGCAGATAACTTCCAGGGCGGCTTGTGTTTGTGTTTCTGAAACGTCCATAATAACCAAATAAACCGCAATCTGAAATGTAAAATATAAAGTGCCATTTATTGAAGACTTAAGTTATGGAACTGACGTCCTTGTCATAACTTGTTCCATGTTGAACTCCGACTGTCCTGTGTTCCCTTCCCGCACCGTCTCCTCATATGTTGGCAGACGTTTGCATTGTTCGTATGAAGGCAGCTGCACATCAGGGGCTGGATCCCTCAGGCTGTCCGGGGTGCTGCTCTCCATTAGCGGCTCTTGCGATGTGGTAGCAGCAGGGAGTCCGGGGAGGGGTGGCGGGGTGAGCTGCCTGGATCTGGAACACAACATCCGCTGGACAAAGTATCCCACAGCGAAGAGAAGCAGCATAATGAGCACACCGGAAAGTTTCCGGGTGACCATGGCGATGTTGTAGTAAGTGTTGTCCACGAACTGCTTGCAACAGGTGACGGCAGTGGTGTCGTTTCCCTGTGCGCAGCAAACCTGGTCATCTCGACAAATGTATGGTCCACATTTTCGGATGGAATAAACAACTGTGCGAACAAAAAAGCAAAAGGTGAACAACACCAGAGCTTGGCAATTGTAGAAAAACGTCATTGCTGAGTTGAAAGGGAGAGATGATCCAGTAATGCTCGGTGGAAACGCTCGGGAAACAGGGCGCAGGCAAGAAGATTCACTCAATATTCTGAAAGATGGGTTGGCTGAAACGTTGACGCGGAGCCATCACCAACAAACTGCGAGCCCACGAGACATAGAAAAATACCGGAAAATGGAGAAAAATAACGAACAAAAAAAAATGCTCACAAATTGAACTGTCAGCAGTCAGCTATCACTATAAAGTACAAGTGGGGCTACGCAGACAGCTGAATCCCTCTCTGTAGCATATGAATATGTCAACAAGCGTGACATGAACTCTTAAGTGTACTTCAATCTGCTCTTGATTTATTATGCACTTAACGGTTATGTTGATGCCGTCCAGCCAACGTAAACACCGATGGCTTGTTCATTGGATATGAAAGTAAACAGGCGCCCAGGACATCGACCAGTCGTGTCTGCAGCACTGAGAAATGAGCCTTTGATTAATTGTGAAGGTGGGAGGGGACATTAAACCAGCAGACTGCAGAAGAGACTGTTGATGATTCAGCACCAGGGACAACACTTAACACGCCCACTGAGGGAAACAATGGGTGGGCGCTGTCCGAGGTGCTGACACAACCAAACCCAAAACTACTAAGTGTTCCAGAAAGCAGGAGCCCGACACATTTCCATTTGCAATATTTATACATTAATGGGAAGGCTGCGATGGTTTGGTTGGCTTTCAAAGTGGTTCACACAATGGCCACTAATAAGCACTCTTTCTCCAGGAAACTATTCTAATACAGGTCTCTAAAGTGACCAATAATCACACAATTGACTAATTATTTTACTGGAAGAAGTAAGCAAAGACAACATTCTATATTTCTGCATATACCCTCACAATGATTAATCAATAATGGGAGGACATGATGGGTAGGCTGCGGTAATAATGGCAGGAAGTGCTCCTAAAAGGGTGTCTGCTTTTTTTCTCAGATCAAAATAGCGGGATGTGAAATGCATTTTTACAGTGGATGACAGAAGGATGCACATAGTGTGAATTTGTGTCAACTACACAAACACACAACGCAACCTTTTGACATCCATTTGTGCCGTTTTGGCCCAATGACTTGAGTGCTTCAAACCCAATGCTAATTGAATTGTTTGCTAAAAGGCATATCAAGTTCTTGGCAAAGAACTACAGGATGCAGGATGCATGTTGGAAAAAAAAGAAAAATCAGATAAAGTAATTGAGATCATTATAATGCTCATGTGTTTTGTAATAAGCAGGTTAAAAAAAGCCAAGTTAAAGTAAAATGTTTATTCGGAAATGTTTTTATTTTTACAGAAAATATATGAACTATAACAGTAATTGGAAATGTGAAAAGTACTCAAATAACCTTATTCCAGGTGAGATGGTATTAAGAATGATACCCCTGTATTCACAGGAGTTGTGTTCTGTCCAAAATGTTTTAATCCTGTACAAGTCAGCGTTCAGGAGGTCCGGCTCTTTGGTGAAAGTACTGTTTTGGAGTCTGATGGCTTTTTGTCAAATGTGTTTGATGGGAAGACAGTAATGGGTCCCAACTGGATAGTTCGCTCTATAAAACAAAATTACAAAAATGTGAATAGGTCTCTTTCGGCTGCACAAAAAACAACATTAATAATAAAAATGATAACACATAATTAAAAACGGGTATAAATTGAATCTCTTATTTATAGTTATACATTACCATTGTAAAACAACATATTTAGTATGCATTAATGTTTTTGGTTTGTTCGGAATGTTTCGGTTTTCCAAATTGCTCAAATGGTTTATGTGTCAATGAGGTTAGTGAAATTGCACTGCACATAGATTGATTTTAAATAAAAAAGGTAAATAAAAGTAAGAAGTCATCACCATTTGTTGTACTCACCTGCTTTGTACTCTGCTCCTCTTTTCATCACTCTAGCAGAGGATTGCTGTTTGTTGTGTTGACTTCCTGGACGAACACGGAAAAAATGTGCTTCGGGTTCCTCTGGTTTGTTCTGGACTAAACGCCTCTGCCTAGTCTCGGTGGGCCATGCTTTGGTGCTGACGATAGTCTTAGGGGGTTCTGTTGCCAGAGGCTCCTCCACCCCATGGGTGACATCACAGCTTTTACACACCTGGTCGTTCCCATCAACTGACCTCCATCTGGATAAGGAGGCAATTTTTGAAATTAGGAGGACTCAATTCTGTGAAATTAGATCGCCAAGTTTGATACAGGGGAGACAAATCAGATGATTGGAATTGAAATGCTACAACTAATTTCCTTTTTTCTGATATTACAAGGATACTGCACAGGAAAACTGAACATGCATAATTAGTATAATACCTGTTCTCAATTACAGAGCAGGCCCTGTTTTGAGAGTTGACGGCTAGCACAGCTGGAACAGCCTTCACGTAGCAGGTTATATAGACCTATGGGAGAGAGAGAGAAGTTCAGTGAAATATGTTTAAGCTCCTCTTTAGGGTTTATGTGTATTGAACAAAAATAGCAAACTTATCAAGTCTTACAGTTTTCTCGTTAAAGGTTTGGTGTTCAAAGTGCATGCCACAGACAGAAAAAATAACCAACCTGATTGCTGGGTGCCTGGTAGAAGCTGAAGGCCTCAACCTGAAACCTAAGCTGATTCTCTTCAACTCTTGGTAGGAAGAGTGACTTTGATTTAGTCAGGTAAGCATCAGTTAGACATCTGTTAGAGCAGGAAAAGAAGAAAGTGGTTGGGAAAGCAGATACCTTAAATTTCAACAATAAAAAAATAGAACAATTATCTTACTATAACAATCTTTGGCATTTACCCATAATGCTCAATAAAGTCATATCTTAATGTATCCTCTGCATCGGGAGTTGCTGTGGCAACACAATGGTCCACATAGACACGCAGGGGCATGTGGTTACCCATGAAGGCAGAAACGTGAAAATTAATGGTGTCACCCAAGAAGTACGAATAAGATCCCCTCTCAAACTGCCAATCACCTGCAAGGATGAAAAAGAGAAATCCAAACAAGTCATTTTGAAATGTGGTTGTACAACAGGCATATTCAAAGAGAAGTATTAATCAAGAAAACTGTAGCATACGACTAAGATGCACAAGAATAATAAAAGACGCAAGATCACTGTTATGCCATTAGTACCAGTCATCAGTAGAAGATTGAAGTCTATCTGATCTTCTGCTGAGATCGTGGAGACAGAAGGAACCCAGGTCGGATGCAGGGAGATGGCATCCAGAGAATACCTCCTGAAAATATACGGAGTGTTCGAGAAATATTTCAAATAGTAGTAATAAGCATGTACTGTGTCACAATATACAGGACTTACTTTTCATAATGACATTCAACTGGAATAGTTGCTCCATCCAGTCTAAGCAAACCATCAGGGGAAGGTTCAGGAGAGTAGACCAGAACATTAGAATAGATAATCTTCTCTTTTGACGACTGAAAGGAACAATGATAGTCTTTCAGAACGAATAAACAACACGTCAATAGTATAACCACATGGATGGATTAGTAAACAGGCCTACTGGGCCTCCATTGTGAAAATGTCAATCAAAGAGGCACTTACATTACTAACGAGGGTGAGGCTCAAACTGATTGCAGAGACACATAAGACATGAAGTAACTACAAGGAATTGATGCCAAAGATACGCAGAACAACTACAAAATGGTGCAAAACCACCACTACAACAAGAAAAACTCTACAAAAGGGACAAGAAACAACTACAAAAAGACAGTCTGAGACACACACAGACAAAATAACAAACAAAACTACGACAAAGACACAAGAAGCCACATGTCAAAAAGCGTTTCGAACCTAAACCAGTAATAAAAACGTCTTTAAGCAAGTTCACTTGAGCTTACATGATACAATACAATATGTAATGTACCTAATGCTTACCGAGAGTTTAGTTCCACAATCCCCGAGGGAGGCCTGGATGGTGTATTCCGCCTCTCCTGATGGGACTGCTCCACATGCACTCCCTTCACTCACTGAACCCGGTCCCAGGCGCAGATGTCTGTGGTCCACCTGCAGGCCCTTCTCAAACATGTCGGCCTGCACCACAACCCGCATCGAGTCCGGGTGGCAGTGGACCAAGACGGGTCGAGGCTGCACGCTGAGCCCGGCGCTTTGCTGCCGCTGGCCCGCAGCCAACTGAGGCTGGATGTTTCCATGAGTGCTGCTAGGGAAGTTTGGGTTTGCTCTGTCGCTGGAGCCTCCGTTCTGCAATAACTGGCTCTCTATGAGTGCGGAAAGCGAGATAAGGACGATAATCCACCAAGAAGAGCTTCTGTGAACGTCCATTCTTGTCCTCTGACAGGTTTGGAAAGAGCGGCGCTTATCACAGCTGTAAGTAATCAAACTCAAACACACCTGTGAGCGGGCTGTGACTTAGTGATGTGTCGGTCGCGAACGAGCCGGCTCAAAGAGCCGGCTCTTTTAAGTGAACGACGGGAGCCGGCTCGCGCCCGCGAACGAGCCGTTTTTTTTTGTTATTTTGTTGTTGTTAAGTAATACAAGACAGAATGATATGATGATCTCCGCGCTACAGCTGCTCCGTGCATGCATGCAGTGACATGTAATATCCAAGGATTAGAGACTGTTGGATGCTGCTGTTTTGAGCATTGCAATACATTTATTTTTATTATGTTTTTTTATGATTAGAGACGGTTGGATGCTGCTGTACTGAGCATTGCAATATATTTATTTTCACTATGTTATTTATTTATGATTATCCTTGGGCTCGGCAAAGATTTGATGTCAGCTGTTGCTGTCTTTTTTTCTATAGTTAATACTGAAATAGAGCCCTGCTGTTTAGTCAGGGCCTTTTCTTTAAATATAATTTTAAAATGTCGATAGAGTAGCCCATTTTTTAAAATGTCTATGCTTAAGTTTTTATCTCAATCTCAATCTTTATTTATTTATATAGCACATTTAAAACAACCTTCAGTTGACCAAAGTGCTGTACAGGCAATACATATTAAATAACACAATGGGAGTACAATAATAAAACAATAATTAAAAACATGATAAAAAGCACAATAACTAGAAAAATATTTTTAAAAAAACACATACAAATGTAAAAATGTAATGTTCAACTAGTATTAAAAGCCAGTGCAAAGAGGTGAGTTTTTAGCTGAGATTTAAAAAGTTCAATAGACTCAGCAGTCCGGATATGTACTGGGAGGCTGTTCCACAGTCTAGGAGCTGCAACACTGAAAGCCCTGTCACCTCGGGTTTTGTTATAGGTGTTGCTATCTGCTTTGTGTAGCGTGGTTCGACAAGCAAGTCTGTGCATTCATTGGGTGGTATCAGAGAGATACAAGGGTCTGTAAATGCAATGAAAACAATTGGCCACAGCAAATAATTGATATTAAACATGTCATTTTTACTTTTGAATACTTCAGTACAAAGGATGTATTGAATAATTTAAGTGATATGTGTACACATATAAATCATTAGTCAAAACAAGGCTACATTTGATTGAATTATAAAAGGTATAATATGTGGTAAACTGAAGAGCCGTTTGGGAGCCGAAAGAGCCGGCTCTTCTTGGTGAGCCGAGCCAAATGATCCGGCTCACCAAGAAGAGCCGGAATTCCCATCACTACTGTGACTGATTAAACCCAGCTGCACTGCGCATGTCTGCTGGACATTACTTGGAACGTGTCGACATCAAAGTGTTTATCATTTTGAGTCTTTGTAATGAATTAAAAACATAGATAAAAACTTCACATAAAGGCTACACGTTTTGTTAGCATGGTCATTTGGCTAAGCTATTTATGCTATAAACTAATTTGACCACTAGGTGTCACTACAGCTGCATTTATAACCTATTGTATCTCCATTGACACCGTTTAAATTAAGATAATAATATCAGCTGCTCAAACGTTTTCTTAGTTTAAGAGTGTAAAAAATTAAAGTAAATAAGGACAATGATATTCATACATTTGTTATTCCACAGTCGAAAATATATATAAAGAAGAAGATTCTTTGCCTTTAATGCTACATAAAGGCTACCCTTCTTTAAATGTTTTGATATACCTACATGTTTACATTTTATAAATGCAGGAAATTGTTGTTTTCATGTTTTAACACATGTTTCCGCTTTAGTGGTAGGATTTTTGGAATCAAAGTAGCAGTATGATGAATGTTTTTGCCCAGAGAAATCTTTTAAAAGTGTTTATTTTTAAAAGAGTATTTAAAGGTCCCCTATTATACTGTTTTTCATCAATATATAATAGGTCTCAGATATATACAACACATGTCTCTGAAGAGTTTGTCTCGAAATACCCAACAGATCACGAATTGTAGCATCCCATAAACCCCTCTGTTTCAGCCCTGTTTCAAAAGTGCTAATTCTGTCTTTTACTTTAGATGAAAATAAAAGACAGAGAGGTTAATAAAACACCTCTGAGAGATGTTTGGCTAAAAAGAACACTATGGTGCTCTAGGAGGAGATTCAGGTGATAAGGTGTGGGGAGTGCATTTTGTAATGCACTCATGTGTCACAAACGTCATAGGTCTCTTTCAACCCCAGAAGCCACAAGTCTCAGTGCCAATTTCTTTAGACAATCAAAGGATTCCAATAAAAAACAAAAGCCTTATTTCCCTTTCAGTGAGGTTTTAATGAATAACCAACCTGCAGCTCTTTCAAAACTTCACATCGGAAAACAAAGCGGCCAACAGCGCCCACTGAAAGTGAGCATGAAGCAGCTCACTAAGTGGAGTCTTTTAAGACAATCACCATTCATTTTGAGTTATTTGTGATTTCGACTATATTTCAAACATCAACTGACAATGCTTTCCGTAGACTTCACTAGTCTTGACCTGATAGTTAAGCCCAAATCCTAACTCTGCCTTAATTCAAGTATCAGTTTTTTTAGTGTTTATAAATAAACCTTAAGTCAGACACTTAACACGTTTTGACTGACTTTCACATCCTTCTGAATTACAAAAGGCGTTTTACTGACAGTTAATAGTAAGTTGATTATTAACACTGGACTTTACAAACCAAGTGTAAACAAACACAAACTTGCAGTCTCATACAACTCATCCGTAGGGGCTGAAGTGGTTACAGGAAAATACAGTCAGGCGGTTTTCATAGCCCAATAGTAAAATAAAATCACATGTTAGGATTTGAGGACCATCTTAAATGATGAATATTGTAAGTTGAAGAAAATTCTAAATTTCCTATAAAACATTGAATGAAATAGAATAACCAACAAGAAGAAAAAGTCCAATAATTGACCCAAATCATTGGCGATAAAATGTCAATGTATAGAATATTACCTATATGATCTAACAGTAATACATTTTCTGAAATATCATTTAAAATAAATGAGAGTATAATCAGCAGGATTTATGCAGGAAAAGTTTTTATTTGGTGATTCTTGGAACCAAGTGAATGACAGGACAATACATAGTGGAAAATAAATAGTCTAATATCATTAATAAATAAATAAATAAATAAATAGTAAAAATTCTTTAAATACACACCATAATGATGTAAATAAATTACATTACTTCATAATAATAATAATAATAATAATAATAATATATATGTACTGTAAACAGTCATAAAGTAGACTGAAGTGTTTTCTAGATTATTTGAATCATTGGACTGTGACTGTAGTTTGTGTTTTGTTTAGCTTTTTTGAAACTCCTGAGCTTTTAGAGCTCATTTTTCTCATTTAGTCTGTTCACCAGAGTTCATGTAAGAAAGGACTCTGTTGATTGTGATGCTGCGGAGCTGGAAGCCCTTCAGCACTTTGCAGAGGTTCAGCTTTTTATCGAAGCTGCTTGAATTATCTGAGGCATCCTTAAAGAGACACAGAAGAATTAGGAAATAATTAATAACAATTAGACAATGACAATTCTTCCAACAATGTTTAGAGTTGGAGTGTTCAATCTCTGATTTCTTGACAATTAGAAACATATAAATAAGCACACTTTTCTTGAGCTGTGCAAAGATACCTTGACCAATTAAATCATGGTATCAAGAGATCTCTTACCTCCTCTGAGACCAGGTCTGATGGCAGATGCTTTGGGAAGAAGTTCTGTAGAGAGCAAATGATTCATATGTATCAATGTTATTTTAACAACCGTTCAATTCATGTGGCTTTTGATCTAAACTTCAGCGTATGAATTCAACTAAACAATCATGCGTAACCAGAAAATGTCCTATTCACAGTTCATACATTTTTTTTATACTACCATTTCTAATTGTGATTGGGCCTAACAGACAAGAATACAGTGTTTTTATGGAGAGAGTAGTGGCAAATGATTTACCTGCATGAGCTCTCTCAGACCAGACAGAGTTGGGTCGATAAATTTGCCAGGGTCCGACTGAGCAGCTAGAAATGTGAAGTAGTGATGCAGATCCTTCCCTATGTTTTCCAGACATAAGTCCTGGATGGAGAAACAGTTCATTATATCACATTCTGTACACACACTTATTGTTCCCTTGTACAATTTAATGCGGTCCATTGGAACAGCCCTGTTTTAAAATCTATCTTTACAAAGCTCACAATTTTCAGAAAGCTTCAAAGCTTTCAGTTAAATGTAGTTTATAATGTAATCATTGTTTTGAATGTGTTTTCTTATTATTTTTTTCGGTTTAAATACAGATGACTAGAAACACCTCTCAATATATATTATAGACATGATACAAATAGACTAAATGGCAGAACAATTGTATCAAATCTCATTAGATTGGACAGCTGTTACTCATAAAGTGAAGTGAATAAAATAACTCAGCAATGTGTTAAAGGATGTTTCTTCTTGCTTTGGTTGTTAAATTATACATTTGTAAATCAGATGAAATGATAATAGGCTAATTAATAGGCTCTTTCAAAATATTATGTTGTTTTGTCTTCTAAGTTAAAAAATTAAACAGTTAATAAATAGGTGTTCTTATTATATTTGTCACAAAGACAGAGCAAAACCCACCTGATCAAATTCCGTCTTATTGATTCCTGAGCATTTTGATCCCTGCAGGAGAAACACAGTTCAGTTTGAAGTAAAACAGAGGCACAACAGAACTCCCAACAGTTACATTTAAACATACTAATAATTTACCTTTGGTGCGCATACTGATGGCGTGTCTGTCTCGTTGTTCAGCTTCACCATCTCCTGACTGCAGTTGATTCCACTAAACGGCTCAGCCTAGCAAACAGACATATCATGTTTAAATGCAAGACACTTTAAAGATCACAGTGTATTTTAGTTAGTGTTTTAAACATACCTTTGAGAGTACACCAGTGATGCTCTGTAGAAGAATCTGAGCGGAGAAAACCAAGGAGTCTGTCACCGTTCCTTTAACCATCAGAGGCACAGACTGGCTGACCTGAGGACAGGTGAGCACGAGCAGCAGCAGTGCAGGAGTGAAGTCTGACAAAAAAAGGACAGAATATATAGTTCCTTTGTCAAGCACGAGTTAAACAACTTGCAAAAAGAAAATGCTGTTCAGTCAGGTTACATTATACTCACAGAGCTGGAAGAGAGGCATCTTGGATATGATTCAGATTATGTGCTGTAACTGACTGAACTCAGATATCCTTAAGTGTTTTATACCCACTGATGCAGGGATTTCCCTCAACATCTATATGCAATTTACACCTAGCTGTAAATTGAAAGTGTAAAGTTAAGGTTATGTAATTTTCCCCTACATTACCAAATGGCTTTGTGAAACTGGAATTAACAGACACACACTCTGATGAGTAATCGAGGTTCACACGCTGTTCATTTGTTGACATTTCAGTTCAGACTCAGGACTGAACACATTATGTCATATGTTATTATAATCTCTAATCCTGCACATTCATCCAATGTCCAGTGTATCAATAATGCCAAACAATCACAATTAATTGTAATGGTAGATGGATAAAAAAATACTTGACATAAACTACTAGTTCAATCTGATATGAGTAAAAAAAAGCCTGTTTATTAGATGGCAATGATTTGCAGAAATATTGAATTAATTACATCTTGAAAACAATTTAGTGTTTGTTTTAATGAACTCAAACTAGTTAAAATGTCATGTTTTCAGATTTTGGCTTCTAGAAAATAGATATAATAGATTCTTTATTGTAAAAATGTTACAGGTTTATCAGAAATACAAAAAAAACCATAAAACTCATGTGTGTTGAAATGCTAAAATGAATTTGCATTATAAAAAGTGTTGTTTTCTGCTGACTCAGTTACTTTTTAATGTTACTATTACTACTACTACTACTACTACTACTACTACTACTACTACTACTACTACTACTACAATAATAATAATAATAATAATAATAATAATAATAATAATAATAATAATAATAATAATAATAATAGTAATATTAATAATATCAGTTAATTTGGATTACCTCATAATGCATGTAGTTTTATTTTTGTCTGTCCGAGTTGTTCCTCTTTTTAGCTTGTGGTAATCCTCCACAAAACTCGGTTACATAAGTGTGAATGTGTGAATGAGCGGAAAACTCCGCTGCAGCCGTCCGTGATACTCTGAGGCTGAATATGTCAAAGAGAGCGGACTCATTTTCCCAAGCATACCTCAATGAAACAATTTATGTTTTTGTAATGATTTACAGATCATCTCATAAACCCCTGAACATTTGACAAGACCATGAAATGCAAATGAACTCTCATGAAAACCAGCCAAATATAACAAAAGTTCACACCATGGAAACATTTATTACTGGAGTTTAGTTTTTTTACAATCATTTTTGAAGTACATTAATCGATGAAGCATATCATAGAAAAAGAAAATGTAACTTTGTGGTAAATAACATTCCTAAAAAGCGAGTGAAAACACTTAAACACAGCCAGACAACAAGGCATGTTTTTCATCCTTTTTAATAAAGCATCTTTTAACATGTACATACAATATGTCTATAAACCCTTTGAACAGATAAAATAGATATGTTTTGGTTGTGATTAATTTGTTTTACATGTTTATAATTATCCTTTATTATCCCTTTGTTCAAACCATATGTTGTCATTTTGTCTATTATACCGAGTACATAAAGGCATTAACTTATGTGTTTTCTTAATTATTATTCTTATTATCTCTGTGTGTACTTTCACCTGCATTATCCTGTGTTACCTTGTCTCTTATTGCTGTTGCTGCTATGACCCCTGCAATTCCCTACAGATATCAATATAGGTTTATCTTGTCTTTTTATTTGACTAGCGTAAATGGTTTCAGGCCGGATTCGATCCTGGGTCCCCCAATACATGGACCGCCAGCTCTACCAAGTGAGCTATACAACAAAGAAAAGACAAATTCAGCAAGGTGTGGCCCCTAAAAGTTGATACGTTTCCAGTCATGGGAGAAACAGGGATGTGCAGGCGATCTCTCCCACCCAGCATTAACATACACGAGTGTACTGTGCAAAAATCATTAAGAGGTAAATCGGGGTTAGGTGATGCAATTACATTGAAAGAATTCAACTTATTCTATAAAATATGGCATGATTCATCGTGCTGAGTGGTGGTGAAAAGCCTGCACAATGCAACTGTGTCCATACTGAAACCAGCCATCACTCAGCCTCTTTTGAGATGCCCTGTCCTTCAACAACATCTTGTGATGCAATACATGATGCGGTGTCTGTGTGTTAATATTACAGTACAGGTATAGTGAATTCTCCAGAAACAGCACAGATGGAGTTTTTATTAGTAACACTGGGGACAGTCTATGGAGCAGGAGGTAAGATGGCGTGCAGACGGACACGTGTAGACGAGGTGTTTATTTAGAGATAGCTTTCTCTGCTTGGTGCCGCTGATGGCTGTGAGCGTGCCTGTCACAACAAAGACAAGAAGTGCATTAAAGTGAGCACAGGTGAACAGTACCTGTGCAACTACAGCTTATTGTTTCTACTCATCTCCTACAACATTTAGGCTAGACATTGAGATTTTGACAGAGAGAAAAGGGTGATTCACCTGGTGAGATCCTCTATGTCCACCAGCATGGCGTCCTGCTCCACATGCAGCTCATCCCTCATTAGCAACAACTGCACCAGCTCTTCATTTAGACCTGTGTAAGATTAAACATGAATCAACTCCAATTAAGGGTTAAAGGGTTGTTGAAGATTCCACTATGGTGGTCGAGGAAAGATTTTGGAAAGAAGAGGAAGAATCAAGTATTAAGTGTTTTGGCCTCCGTTTTATATTTCGGAGTTACTAAGTTAGCTGGATTCAAACCAACATCCTTTCTGAAATGGTATACTACTTTGACCACCTACTAGGGCACACAATAGCATGAATCTTCAATATAATCATCAGCATTGTTATTTATAAACCTTGTTTTCAGGTTATTTAATATAACCCATGATGATGAAGAAAGTCTGAGGCCCTTATGTGTATCAACAATTCCAAACCAGTGCTGTTTTTCATTATTCACCTTATTACAATCTGACATAGTAAAGGAAAATGCTTTTTACATGCCAACAGTGGTACGCCACTTAAATGAGATGCTACTGATGTGTGTGTGTGTGTGTGTGTGTGTGTGTGTGTGTGTGTGTGAGTGTGTGTGTGACTGTGTGACTGTGTGACTGTGTGTGTGTGTGTGTGTGTGTGTGTGTGTGTGAGACTGTGTGTCTTTCTGTCTATCTGTCTACTCACTCTGAATCTGTGAGTGTAAGTCATTCGTGATGACCTGCAGCTGTCCCAGACTCATGTCCCTCATGTCCCCTCGCCTCAGGTTCCTCTTCATCAAGCCCTCGTTGATGTGGGGCAGATGGGGAAGCTGTTTAGGTAAACACACAAAAAAGGGAAATTACTGTATGCCAAAATGTGCTAAATGTAAATAAAGTAAAACAGTAATAATGCATATTAAATTATAAAGTATGTTTGCAAATGTCAATATAGCGGCCCCTTTGGTACACAGTTTTCGGGGTTTTCTCTTAGTCACAGACAACTATTCAATTATTACCCCTGACTGCCATTCTATTGACTTTTGTCATTTTTATTATGCTGTGTTTACTGGAACGAGTCTTAGTAAGTCACTTTATATATAGATCAATCTTTGTCCCCTGTCACCAGTAACGATAATATATTACACACACACACACACACACACACACACACACACACACACACACACACACACACACACACACACACACACACACACACACACACACACACACACACACACACACACACACACACACACACACACACACACACACACACACACACACACACACACACACACACACACACACACACACACACACACACACACACACACACACACACACACACACACACACACACACACACACACACACACACACACACACACACACACACACACACACACACACACACACCTATTTTACCCTTCCCAAAGACAGTATGTGGTGTAGCCAAAGCAGCTCATGGTCACTGTAAATGATGTACAGCAATTTCATTTGTGGAACAAAACAAAGCATGTTAAATGATTAGACACACACCTATGTTATGTGAGAGATTGAATTATTCCAAATGTTGTCTGAGGAGATGAAAACAGGTGAAAAACACATCTGAACACACCCACGCCACCTCACAAGCACACATCCATTATGGCTGAATTCTCTACAGCAGCTTCACCATGATGGATAGCTATCATGTTTACCTGTAAATAGTATGCTACACATGCTACAGTACACCCTCATAATCACTCAACACAAATCCACACACCTGGTAAATGCACACGCGCACACACACACACACACACACACACACACACACACACACACACACACACACACACACACACACACACACACACACACACACACACACACACACACACACACACACACACACACACACACACACACACACACACACACACACACACACACACACACACACACACACACACACACACACACACACACACCACACACACACACACACACACACACACACACACACACACACACACACACATTTGAGTGTTGTATGTCTTTTAAAAATGGACCTTGAGTCTCTTCAATAAAGCTGATGATGATGACATCCCCTGATCTGTATTTGTATTTATTCTCTCACTGACTAACCAGGTCAGCCACAGGTGAGCGTCTGTGCAGTTGGATTTGCCTCTCCACCTCCACCTGCATTCGGGCCATGGGTCGAGCCAGAGCCAGCGCCACCCGGGCCTCCTCCTGCAGCCTCTTCTGCACCCGCCAGAACCCGCCGCAGTCATCCAGCGGGTCAGAGTCCTCCTCCGCCGTGTCCCGGTCCGATAACGATGAGCTCTGCTTGCTCTGTGGAAGAAATGATGTAAATAATGTCACAATGTTGGAGGTGATTGTTCTCACACATTGTTGTTCCACAGAGTTGCACACAAGACACTTTCCAAGCTGTTCATACCAAAGGTGATAAGGGTGTGTCCAGACTGGTCTCTGTCCTGCTGTCCTCAGCATCGCTGTCTTTGTCACTGCTGCTGTCGTTTACGAAGCACACCTGCAGGTTCACCCCACTCTGCAGTCTGAGTGGAAAACATAAAGAGTGAAGAACATGAGAGGGGAAATGTTAGAGATGCTGAAATGGTTCATGTTTAATCGTGGCGAAAAGGAAACTACTGACTTATTTTGCAGATTGTGTTTTAGACATTATAAACATACATAATGTAAAAAAACACATCATGTAGGAGTTATGTGTGTATAATGTAGGTTTCAACAAGATTACATATCAGAGACATTTTCAAAACACCATGCAGTTATGAAGAGAGGAGTCTAAAGGCCTTGATGTATGTCTACATTTTAAGCTTAAAAATAATAACATATGCAATTAAATGAAATTATCCATGTCATTTCAACAAAAAAGCTAAATTATAATCAACTTTTCCACTGTAGCTCGTGTGTCAGATTACATAAGGACTCGATTAATTGGAAAAGCACTAATGGGTTTTTATTTCTATTAATGAAATTACTTACTCTCCTTAACACGCAATTGTTTTGCTTTTTTTAAAAGCCCCTTTTTTAAGATGCTAAAATCATGTCCTCATACCTTTGGTGTGACAGTGTGTCTCATTGTGTGGGCTGGGCCTCATAATTCCAATTAAGGGAAATCCTTAGCTACAGCATGTAATTACATGTCATGATACAGTGGTCTGCTTCCAACTCTCTGATCACAGTTTGGGGAAGACCCTGTCCTGTTTTAACATAGATTAGGTAAATAAAGACATGGTTTTGCAAGTTTCACGTTGAAAAGCTTGACAGCGCCAATTGCCATCTTGTAGAAAATCTTCCAAGAACACTGTAGGCCTTTGAAGCATTTCACTGGCCATAGTTATGGAATTATATTCTGTATATATACATATATAAATAAATATATGGTTTTGGTGTCCATATACTTTTGGATGTCGGTGATGTCCCAGTCTGTGACCTAATCGAGTAGGAACAGTAGGAATGAAACAACTAAAGCCACAAAAACAGGCTCTCAACCTCAGCCTTTCCAAGAGCTGAAGAGAGCATTCACTCAGTTGCAGATCATTATAATATGACTGAAATAACCTATCAACCCAAAGTAACCTCCCCTTAAACTGGGATAGAACAATGCCTTATACAACATCACAAACCGGACAGGATGGTGTTGGAATTTCCACACCAAGCTAAACTCAAGAGGGTGCGCGTCACTTCCACTGGAGGTCACATGACTCCAGTGCAACCAATAACAGCCATCGATTTATATTGGGCATCACTTCTTCTTTCAGGAGCATGTGGGCCGCAGACAGAACAGCACTTCCTTAAACAGCAGCCAGTAACAGAGCGGGGCGGCCCCATTGTTTGATGTAAACGCCCCCTCGTGAGAAAGCCAAAGTGCCAGAGACTTACTGGAGGTCAAAGCTGTCATCGAAATAAAGTAGAATTGTGTTGTACTCGCTTTGGTTAACCAGGTTATGCCTGATGTAATGCAACCCTTTTCACTGTGTGTGTGTGCATGTTTCCAAAACCTGTGACATAATAATTTGCATAGGGAAATTATTTCCTTTGATTTCATCCGTCATACCTGTTGAGGAAAATATTTTCCTATGGCTCTGCCTTTTACCCAGTTTATCCCTCTACTCCTAGTCAGCGTTCAGGCATGCGACCTCGGTTGCCACTTTCTATCTTCCCTTGACAATAGTTTTGTCTAGAACTATATAAATACTTGGTGAGAGATCTTCAGGATTGGTTAGGCATGGAGCTTTGTGACTTTGTGGCTGCAGCAAATGTCTTTATCAATTCTACGGCCGTAACTTCCAATAATCTTCAGTGTATGCCATATAGCCGAGCTCTCCCGTGTTCTCATTGTGTTGAGTCGTTGCTCCAAAACTTTCCTTCACAATACCAAACTAAAATCAAATTCAGTGCCTATTGTTAAACATTTAGCAATTAATTTGAAGATGCAAAATACTAACTATTATTTGTGTTGCGCTTTTGTAAAATGCAGTGCACAATGATGTTTGAACATTAGAAAACTAATAGGGCAGCATAAATATAAACTGCTGGACTAATGCACACACATTTGCACAATTATTCTGTACAACAAAGATATGAATACATTATGATCAACAATAATAATAGTAAAGCTATACTATATAATCATAAATATAAATATAGATATTCATATTTAATTATGTTGACCATTTATGCTTTTTGGAGCAGGTTACACTATTGACAAAGGAAGTGTTTGCTCTCGACACTTACTCCCACCGTGAGAAATTATTTAAAATCTGTTGACACACGCGAAGCTTGGGCAGAGTTTCGTTCTGGGCAACTTGTTACGCAACAAGAGTTAACCACGGTGCCACCTCCGCTGCACCTCCTCAATTCATTTTCTGTTGCTGTAAATTGTTTAGTGTAATGTCGATTCCCTTGGTCTGACTGTGGCTTTATGGGCAATCTTTCATATTCTATCTGCATTTCTGTCTGTTATGTGAATAAGTTCACCTATTCCTCTGTTTGTTGCTCAGTCCAACATAAGCTCAGACGCACAAGATAAATCGACTTATTTACTCAGCCAATTATGACATTGTTGCACTGTCCACTACATGACTCTATTTTTCCAAATGGACTTCCATAAAGGCACCACTCTCATTTACTTTATTTTTCTGATCTGTGGGTTTTTGGATGCAAGTCCTTAGTTAATATATTACATTATGTTACTTGTTAGACGCTTTTATCCAAAGCGACTTACATACTCAATACTGTGGACAATCCCCACAGGAGCAATTTGGGGTGAAGTGTCTTGCCCAGGGACACAACGACATGTTGACTGCAGTGGGGTTTGAACCTGTGACCCCTGATCCGAACACCTACGGACAACCCACTGCCACACGCCCCCATATATAAAGTGATCTGCCGAATAGCACCCTCTCCTGGTAGTTAAATAACTGCTTGAATTTGTCATGTCACTTACTTAATTACACAATATTACATGCCTGTCAAAAAGTATTCATATTTTTATAGATAAATTAATCTGATAATTTCCTCAACCCATAATGAGCATTACTACCAAATGATGAGTAACTGTATAGTCATTTGACAGCGATGTTTGCCCTTAATACTTTTTGTGTCCTGTACATTAATGGAAAATAGGATTAGACTGATATTGGTATGCCAATATGAGGGGCAGCTATGTTATAACATGCTTTAAATAAATTAATAATGTTTTTTGGTGGATCAACAACTAATTCAATCGAGGGCGTGTTTCATTGTTCCCCTGCCATCCGTCCCAGAATACATTCAGAGGAAAACATCTAATGATCTCAAGTGCCAGCTCTCAGAAGCTAACACAAAATATTGGTGCTGGCCTTCAAAGGCTCCATTGATCAAACCGTACTAGAAATAACACACACACACACACCCCCCACACACCCCCACACACACACACACACACACACACACACACACACACACACACACACACACACACACACACACACACACACACACACACACACCACACACACACACACCACACACACACACACCACACACACACACACACACACACACACACACACACACACACACACACACACACACACACACACACACACACACACACACACACACACACACACACACACACACACACACACACACACACACACACACACACACACACACACACACACACACACACACACACACACACACACACACACACACACACACACACACACACACTCCAAACCCACCGGGAGGAGAGGCCGTTCTTGCTGCAGCTGGTGTAGATGACGGGCTCGTCGTCATAGAAACTGCCAAGGGCAAGTTTCTGCCTGATGGACTCTCTGTCATTCCTCTGGGCCTGCCAGAAAAAAGAGAAAAATACTTGAATACAAAGAATATTAATAATAATGCTGCTGCTGCTTTAGTTCCATCTCTGCTTGATTGACCGAGTGGGACACACTCGCAGGAAGGAATTATTAAAATCAGTGTGTAGATGCTATTTCAGTTAAAGCTATGAATACACTTCCTGGTTGAGAGAAGGTGATGAAATGAACAAAAAACTGAAGAGGGATTATGTGGGGAAAGGTAAATGCAAAATATGTAGCAGTAATGCAATCCAATTTTATGCTTTTCACACATTTCACGGGATAATCCAGCTGTTAGCTCACATAATGACACAGACATTGCAATTGTATAAATAGCTTACACACTATCATAGCTTAGCTAACACATTTATAACAATATAATCAACCATATGCTAAGATATCAGGTAGGCATCACTCCTTACATTACACTCCTCCTCTCTCGTTTCCTATTGTATCTTTAAATAATCTGTGACTCCTAAAAATATGAGGTTTGGAAAACGTTTATTTAACATTTTACAGCCCATCATACAGAGAAAACTAAATATCCTGTTTCTCCGATGAACAGTCCCTATAATCAATACTTAACGGCATTTGCAATTAAAAAGGCACATAAGACAGATTCATGTGGTCTGATTTTCTCCCACAGTTCAGAGACATGCAGCTCAGGTAAAACAGGAACTCAAACTATGAATATGTAAGTAACTATATGTATGTAGACTGACAACCTATCCATGACACTGCCGCCAACAAAATACATCCTGGGATAGGCAGCACCATACCCGAGAACTTAAAAAGATTAAAAAAACAATATCCATACTCTAAATATTTGTCAATGAACTATTAAATGCCATGAAACTACTGAGACCCAATTACAGGAACCGACACATCTCTGGTAATCACCTACAACCACATTTTCAATAATGATTTTCCTTTGCTTGTCCATTAACAGTCCATTATCAAGACAGCAGCCAATGTTGTGTTGATGGTTAAAAATGCTATGTCATTCAGCTATTGGTTTGTCGATTTCAAGAAGCTTATCTCACATGAGAGACATTTTCGCTTTTTTGTTTCTTTTATATCAATAAAGATGTATGGAGGATGTTTTCCAGCATCTAGTTCGACTGTCCTGATTTAATTGTGTCATTTTCCGCCTCTTATGCTCCCCCTGAATCATTCATCACTTTTGACTTGATCTCATCTCATAGCTGCCCTTAGATCTCATTTCTTTTTGTCAACTGCAAACACGTTTAGGTCATGCGAGCTGCGTGGGTTTGAACCTGAACGTCAAAATACAAATGACGGCTTTGTGGGTATAGTTTTTATCTATATATGATAGTGCCAAGTGCCCAGAAGACTGCCTCCTTGTGTTTGTTTGTGCCTCTGACGCACCGCAATTGAATGACATCTCTAAAATGAGATATCTTCTAAATGTCAATGTTTTTTCTAAATAACCTCAAAAACTACACAACCAACACACACACCCCCTATCTTTTTTGTGACGCATCATTTGATGAGGCTGTGATGTCAGAGCACAAATAATAGATGATGGCCTTCACTCTCCCAACCAACACTCTGCTTCCTGCTGATCCACTCCAGACAGCCGGTTAGAATGTCCTCCTTAACAGCAACACACACACACACACACACACACACACACACACACACACACACACACACACACACACACACACACACACACACACACACACACACACACACACACACACACACACACACACACACACACACACACACACACACACACACACACACACACACACACACACACACACACACACACACACCACACACACACACACACACACACACACACACACACACACACACACACACACACACACACACACACACACACACACACACACACACACACACACACACACACACACACACACACACACACACACACACACACACACACACACCTATTTTACCCTTCCCAAAGACAGTATGTGGTGTAGCCAAAGCAGCTCATGGTCACTGTAAATGATGTACAGCAATTTCATTTGTGGAACAAAACAAAGCATGTTAAATGATTAGACACACACCTATGTTATGTGAGAGATTGAATTATTCCAAATGTTGTCTGAGGAGATGAAAACAGGTGAAAAACACATCTGAACACACCCACGCCACCTCACAAGCACACATCCATTATGGCTGAATTCTCTACAGCAGCTTCACCATGATGGATAGCTATCATGTTTACCTGTAAATAGTATGCTACACATGCTACAGTACACCCTCATAATCACTCAACACAAATCCACACACCTGGTAAATGCGTTTCTCCTGGTGCACCATCCTTCAGCGCACCGTACTGAAAAGCCGCCCTGTCCTTCTCTACACTGCAGTGAAGCTAGACTCAGGAGACCCTCTCATATACTGCAGCTCCGTGCAGGAGAACGAGGGAGGGAGGGAGGGGGGAGGCAGCAGAGAGAGGAGAGGGGAGATGTGGGAGCAGGAGACGAAAGGGTGGGAAGAGACGAAAGCGGAAGAGGAGAGAGATGGAAGAGGGAGAGGGGGGGGGGGGGGCGGAGCTGCTCAGTATTTCTCTCCTGATCTGTTATCTGCTACTCCATCTTCCTCACTTGCTTGCTTTTTCCTCATAATTCTACTTATGATCAAGAAAAGGAACAGATTGCAGCAGCTACAAATCTGTGCCCCGATTAGAGGAGACGGACCATTTAGATTTAAGGATAAATGGTTGGTTGCAAGGTTGTATGTTGGGCTTAAAATAGCCTAATAAATGAGACAACACTGGACTACAACACCATTAAAATGGCTTATCAATAATAGCTCCTCTAATAAATGTCAGCCCTTTTGAGAAGCACTGACGCTCGTTGACCAAAAGCAGAACAGGGAATTTCTAATTGCACGTTATCCGTTTGTTTTGTCTCCTAATCATGTCTCCTCCAGCCCTATTCCACATCACTGAGTCAACTGTGATAGGCTGTAAGAGAGACAAGGGAGCACCAGGGTGTACATAGGCACACGTGCGAGGAGAAGCACATGTACACACAAACACAGTTATTTCTCTCAGTGTTGTGTCACAATGCAGAGCTCAACATCTAAGGACATTGTTTATCAGGTTCAGAGGCCGTCACCTTTTCTATTTCACTCATATTTATCAGGATTTACATTATTATAATCATACAATGTATCTACAGTACATGTGTATATGCATGAGATAAACATACTCTTAATTTGAAAATGTGTGTTTTTGTAGTGCACATCTTATTGTATGTTATCAGTTTTTAAGTTTGTATGTGTTTTTTATTATACAGCTGCAGTGGAATTTGTCAGAACAAATGAACCTAGATGGAATAATTGAGTGCATGTGTGGCTCAGACAGAAAGAGAGAAAGACAATCACTCACAGAGATGCTGGGCAGTCTGGTTCGCCCTCCACTGTAACAGTCCTCCGTCTGTGGTGCAAAGATATCCTGGAGCTCCTCGGCCCAACTGCGGCTGTTTACCATGCTGCCTCTTAGTGTGTCACAGTGGCCATCTTCTCCACATTCCTCCCACCAAAGGCCTGTTGTGGCCTTTCTCCTGACTACCTCTTCCTCCTCTTCCATGTCCACATCATTGTCCCCCATAAAGACTCGCTGTATGGAGAGGGTGGAGCAAATGTCAGGGTTGGGGGGAGGGACTAAGTGCCCTGGCTGGGAATATGGCCACAGATGGAGTGAAGATATTCAGAGGAGGGCCACAGATCTCTGACTGAAATCAAATGCTTAAAGGCTGGATGTTTCAATGTCTTTGATCTCCATGGTACATCTATGTCTCCTGTGATCATACAGAAAAAAACAAATCGATCAATGTATTGGCCTTATACATGTAATTATAGCATTGTTATTTGCCATATAATACTTTCATCTACTTTGTCTAGTCTGATCAAACTACTTTCATCTTTAGTATGTACTCTTTATGAACAGAAGTCACACAAATTACATAACATTAACATAAATGTTAAATGTAAAGCACAAATACTTAAGATGGTGTTCCTTCCTAAAGTGAAATCATACATAAAAGACTCACCTTCATTGTGTGCGACCAATTCTTAAGATACTTGAAATAAAAATTCAAAAGCAGCAATCACAACATGCAGACAAGTGCAGCGTTGCATAAATAACAATTGCTTTTCCCATGCTGAACAGAATATATGAACAGATGAATTTGAGTGTTTCTTGCTCCTTTTCCGAATAGTTTAGTCCTTAGCTCAGATTATTCCAACCAGATATCCCTCAAGAATTGTGGTAAACTATCAGGGAGAAATACAGATGTGCATCCTTGCTTTCAAAGAGCAGCGTTACATGCCTCTTGTCACGTGTGGCTTATTTTCAGTGATGTGTGTAAATGTGTGTGTGTCCAACGTCACGAGGTGCACAGAGGAGAGAGCATTGTGTGGAAATATATAGGAACAGACAGAATGGGGTGTGTGCCCAAGCTGTATGTGTACATAGGCATGAGGGGATTTTCAAAGAAACTAAATGTAGAGACTAACATCTGAAGTAGAAAAATGCTTAGTTTTTCATTTTTTATAAAGATTTCTGCAGCACTATGCCACATTTATCAGGCTTAACCAATCTTCCTAATGAAGCTTTCCAAGCAGTTCATACCATGATGATCCTTGTGTACCCAACTATAAAGTGATCCATTCTCATATTAGTCTAATTGTTAAAGCTAAATAGATAAGATGGTTGTAAGATCTGCAGGAGACACTGCAAAACAGCTTGTGAAGACTAGCTTCTAAGGGCAACAGATTGCTTTTGCTTTAAACTGCTACCGTTTGCACATAACCTATACCATGTATTTGTCTTAAGGCAGACTGGGCATAATACCAGTTGTGACAATTGCCGTTTTAGGTTCTTCTTTAAATTCTTTGGTAAAGTAGATTAGCAACCCGTAGGTTTTTTTTACCCCTAATCTGCACAGACTTTAAAGGCAATTGGCACCTTGCCAAGAACATGGTACAAAAAAAAAGAAAAAAAAGACAGTCAGGTTAACGGTTTCCTGTAACCCATGCAAAACATGTCACTTGCCAAATGTCTTTGGAAGAAAAACACACACCCAGGACATGCCAGTTGTTTTTAGCACCCCAGCACAAAAGGAAATATATTACAGATGAATCACAAATGACAAGGTTAAAATTTAAACTGGTTTATTCAATGCTCAGTATTGCAGGACACCAGCCCCTGAAAGAAAGCAAAGAGTTATGGTTGGTTGAGAGACTTGACAGTTGAAATAAAAAAAAGAGGTCACGCCAAATTCCATTTTTTTTTTTTTTTTTTTTTAAACACAAGTTATACTTACCATTTAGAGTTAATCTGCCTCAGGCAGTGTCCAATCAAATAGATTGTTCTCCCCCATTGAGTGTGGATACCAGGGCACAGTTTGCCATGCAGTTGTTAAACCCTGGATGTGCTTGAGCCTGGAGACCAGATTTGTAGCCAGCTTGAGGCATGTACTTCTGGTCATCTGGGAGTTTACCAGCCTTGTATGAAACGTATGGAGTAAAGGGAAGCTCATTGTATATGGACCAATTTGGCCTGGGTAGTTATTGCTTGGTGTTTGTGTCGTTAAGCAAGTGGTTGTAGGAGCAGAAGTGGTTGTAGGAGCAGAAGTGGTTGCAGGAGTCGAAGCAGAAACAGTTGTTGCCATCGTCGTAGGACTTGCGTTATTTGGTGTTGTGGTGGGAGCAGTTGTACCTTGCGTCGTTGTGCCAATTGGAGGCATTTTAGTTTGCATGGGTGCATATGTAGGGTATGGAGGATTTCCAAAGAAAGGCTGGTTATATGGGTAGTAGTAAAGATTGAACGGGAATCCTGGAGGGTAGTAAGGATTTGGATAATATGGGTAAGTTGGCATTTGAGAAGTCATCGTCGGCATTGTGGTGGTCAGCATCGTGGTGGTCGGCACCGTGGTTGGGGCAGCAGTCGTTGTGGTCGGCATGGTTGTGGCTGTAGTAGTCATCCCACTAGTGACAGGTCCAGTAGTAGGTGTGGCAGTGGTAGTGATAACTGGGGCATTTTGAGGGTATATGGATAGTAGTAAGGATAATAATAGTAATAATATGGATATCCAGGAGGCATGGTTTGAGGGGGGTCCATAGATGGCGTAACAGGGGTGGTGTCAGGTTGAGCAGTAGTTGTAGCAGCAGTTGTGGCGGCGTCAACATACTCAAGTAATACATATAGTAATAGAGATAAGGATCGTAGTTGGGCTGTATTAAATGACGCTTATGACGATTCACGCTCCAGGGCTTGAGGGAATGGAAGTCTCGTTGGCTGACGAGCAGGCTTCTGGGTAGCAGAAGCCGAACTTTTCAACATGTGGCAGGTGAACTTTACTGTAGTCTCCAACCAATGCGTACTCTCCATTCTGAAACACAAAGCAAAGCAGTTATGGTATACACACTAAACAATTTGCTGAAAAGTTGGCTTTAATGTGCCAATACATTTTAGCTGCAGTCATTACAATTTTTATGAGCAATACCAACACTTTTACTTGCATCTTTAAAAGGCTTATAAATGTGCCACCTTGTAAGTATATGTATTGCATTATTAGAAGTAAAATGCATACCTCTATCACATTGCAGCCATCATATGGAACAACCAAAACGAGGCCAAGCTCATTTTGCCGCATTGTATAGCCACAGATTTTAGGCACCTGGATCAAATGCAGGGAATTGGCGTTGCCTGAGGAGGAGAAAGAAAATAAAACATGCCAACTTGTCTTTCACATACAGTGTCAGAATAAACTGACTTTATGCAAGTTTGGTTGTGTGTTGTAATACCCATGTCCAGCTGAAAGTCAGAAGCTCCAGGTCCCATTGCTTTAAACTTCATCTTGCCTTGTCCACATGTCAGGGAAATATTCAAGCACCTCCATGCCGCTTCATCAACCATGTTGTTCCCCAGCTATATGAGGTCTCCAACAACCCTTTAGAGGTCCAGATAAAACAGTTAATACTGGCCATATTCCTTGGTTTTAGTTCCAAACTTTCTGCATGTAGTATATCAAATTAGGAAACTGGAACATCTTACCTCTGCCATCAGATTGTTTTGAGTCAATATGCAGCAATCCATCATTTCCTGTGGTAGGAGCAGAAGCAGATCCTGACTTGGAATTAAACTCTTTCCCATTCAGGAGAATTCTTCTTGTCCTAACTTCTGTCACCATCGCCCCACTAACTTCATCTTTACTAACTATTTTGCTCAGCTGATGCAAGCTAAAACAAGTTAAAGTCTGGGTCAAAGCACAGAGGATTAATATGACGGCTGCAGTTGGGATCAAGCTGTTTCCCCTTCCATCGTCACCTGCCACAGGGAAAATCCAAGCTCAGAGCAGATGGAGAGCACTTTGCAATGAAGCATGAGACACGGCTTTTAATACTGGCACATATTACCACCAGGCAGCCAATCAACAAGGCAGGTGCAGCCTCAGCTAATGCTTGCACCTGTGTTCAATTAGCTTGCAACAGGTGGGCCTCGTTAAGACTTGTATAATGTCTACACCAGGGGTACTCAAACTTTTTAATTAAAGGTCCACTTGTGAACTTTATACAAGGTCACTGGTCCGGATCAATGCCAGTAAAGTACACCCCCCCCCCCTCCCGGAGTGGAGAAGCGAAACTGAAATTAAGAAGCAGTTTCTTACGGCGCTCTATGCATGTCGTTGCAGTAAATTAAAGGATGTTTCATGTTGTCGTTGCTGTGGACCTTCTTAATCTACCTTCTTTGGGGGCCCACTTCTGGTCCAAGCACTTGCCTGCCTTGCCTGTCGGCAAACGGCGCCCCTGTATACACACACACATTCAATACATACATACAGTATGATGGCTTGAACTAGTGGGAGAAATGGCACTGTTTGTCTGTAGCCAATGCCTTGAACCTCGGCAAAAAAAAAAAAAGGCATTAGAACCATTAGAAAGTCAAGGTAAACTTGCGATTAACTTGCGGTCTGCAATGCGTGTCACGCTCGCGCACCCAAGTAAATATATATGCACGTTCATTCTCACAATGCGTCAGACACAAGACGCGCGTACACAATGATGTACATTAATTTATCAGAATCAGAATAAAAAAAAAAAAAAAAAAGATTTTTATTTTTATTTATTTTTTATAATGGGACACAGGGTTCGGTCCGGATTGATTTGCAGTTCGGTCCGGATCCGGACCTTGGTCCGGAGTTTGAGAAGCCCTGGTCTACACAGTAAGCCCTGTATATTGATCATGTAGATCAGGGGTGCCCAATACGTCGATCGCAAAGGTAGTGTGGGTAGATCGCATGGCATTGAAGCGCAAATGCGGCGCACCTTTATGCGCTTAAGAGGCGCTATTGGTGTAAGTGCTCCACAGTTTCTCCGTCGCTGTGAGGTTCCGGCACTCGCAGTTCACTAGCACCGTTGGTTTCAAAGGCATACCAACTATTACAAATTAAGTCACAAGAATGATAGAGACATAACAATACAGTATTTATTTGGGCATGGCTAATATACTGTAATTGTTGATGGCCAAACATTTCATAGAAGTAACACAACTCTGCTCACATTTCAGGGTTTTTCTTTGACTTAGCCTACTTAAGAGGGAAAATATCTTTCAATATAAAATTATTTTTACGATAAGCTTCTTAACAATTACTATCATGTTTACATAACAGTAGACTAGATACAACTCATATGATGTAATTAGGACACTTATAAAATAGAAAAACATATTTTCTATATTGCTCCAATACTTTAAATGTAGATTAAAGGGTTGTGAGGATACTTTCTATTTAACCTAGATAAAAGCATTTACTGGCAGGCCGCAAACAACTTCACGGCGTATACTGCCGCCCGAAGTCCCCGGCCGGAAGTCCCCGGAGTTGTCACAGCACCTACTGAAGCCTTCCGAGTAAATCGCCAGAACGTCGACATCTCCACCGCTCCCATGTTTTCTTTTGTGTTGCCATAAGTTAGTCTCTCTGCGTTTCTGCGCTGGGCTAATGCTAATGCTAATAATGCTAATGCGAGGATAATAAAATGGCTTCACAAAACTTTTTGGGAGTTTTACGGGGCGTGGTTTGCATTCCGCCCAGCCAATCAGACATAGGAACCTTTTTCTCCAACACACTCTCACTCCCTAAACGTCCAGGAGCGACGCTTGGTCAGGGTCCCGTGGCGTGCAGTTGGGACGCGCCGAGGCTCCTTCAGCTTCATAAACGGACGCAAAGAGCTTTCAACTGATTGCAATGTATTCCCATCGGCAGCGGTATTTGACGCTCAGGGAAGCACCGCATCGGTCCATGTCGGCGGCATTTAAAAGCAATGTGAGCGTCCATTCCCATTGGATAACGGAGGATTTTACACCTGGAAGTAACTATTCTCCTTACTGTCGATTGATTTTACAGTGATATCTGCACTACTCATCAACTCAAAAACACCAGATTAACCTTGTTAATTACACAACATTGATTGGTTTAAATTGTGTGCAATGCTTTTGTGTTTTTCCCCTTCGATTCGGAGAAACAAATATTTTTTCGGAGTTTAGGATGGCAGAAGACACTACACTACCCAGAATCCTCAGCTATCGTTTGGGACTACACCATGTGCTTTGTTTGACAAACCCCGTGATTAGTTCTCAAGCTCTGTGATTGGATGTTGGAGTGGCAGCGCGCAAAGTTTACACCGCGTCAAACAGCACTTTGAAATGGAATGAAACCCATCGACGGCACACTATCCAAATCAAGACACCGCAAAGACTTCAGCCTTACCAGCAGGCGGCGGTAGTGTGTATTCGTCATTCAAAATAGGCAACAACCGGAAGACAGAGAAGAAGAACAGACCGCGTGATATAAACAAACAACAAATAGCGTGTGCGTTCCATTTTCACTCTCGTCCATCGAAAACATGTTTCGTGCGGTACTGGAGCTATCAGCCATTGGAGTGTTGCTTGTGGAAGACATTCTCAAGCAACAGTCTCTCAAGAGGCGGAAGCGAAGAATTAGGAGAAACCGCACTAAATGGGTGAAATCATGGATACTACAGCGAGAAGCTCGTGGGGCTTTCCTGAACCTGTGTCGAGAGCTGGAGTTAAATGAAATGCCAGATTTCAGATATTTTCCTCAAGCTTTGGTAAAGTGTATTCTTTGAATGCAGATTTGGGTTCTGCCCGCTCTGTATTAATGTCATGTGAATTTTCCTGTCATGTTGACAGGTTATCATCATGTAGGCGTTGATAAAAGCTCATTCTAATGTTGTGTTATGTGTTAAAGTTTTGCATTGCCTATCCATCCATATATTTGTGTTTATTCTTTTAATCACACAGCGATAAGAAACAATAACAATGTGCCTACATAACTGTCAGTTGCAGCCCTAGCATTAGTATTGGTTATAGTAACAGCTACAACATTAAAATACTTCGAGGCAGATTGAGGAGGATAATGGGAGAATGAACAGAGGGGCAGAAACATCCATCTGAATAATAATAATAACTTTATTTGTATAACACCTTTCATACAGGGGATTGCAGTTCAAAGTGCTTTACATCAGTAAGAAATAAGACATACAATCAGTGTAAAACAAGCAGCAAGAGCAAAGCATAAAGTGGGATAAAATAATGCAGATATATTATATATATATATATATATATATATATATATATATATATATATTAATCCCAACAGGCCACCTTGTTTATAGTTTGATTCAGTTTTAGTAGAATATAAAATACATGAATGATGAAATGAGCACATAAAGTGCAGACATACTATAAAATCACAGTTAATAGACCTGCATCTGATGATCGCAGTGTTCTGGCGGGTGTGTAGTTTATTGAGTCAGTAATGTACAGTATGTAATGTAATAATGGCCACTTCTTGCTAAATTTACATTTCCATGTGATGCTTTTATCCGAGGCGACTCACAATAGGTAAATGAACAGCAGTAGACAGTATCTCATGTACTTGAGACTAATGAATAGCCGTCTGTGTTGTGCCTTCTTAAATCGTTTGTTTACGTCCCTCACTTCCGTTTCGCTTCTCATTCGCTAGCTGAACAGCCAATCAGAGTGGTTTCTTGGTCCGACTGCCTGTTGCCGACGCATGGCCGATTCAACATGTTGGTTTGGGTTAAAAAGCTGTCAAGTTTACAGTGTTAACAAAATAAAATATACTGCTGTTTCTGGTTTAGTTTACGATGGATATATTTAGTTATTGTTTTGATATTTGTAACACAAAAGCGATGTAAAAAACCCACTGCAACACAGAAAAGATGGTCTTAACATGACCCAGCGGTCTAGTAGTTAATAAAAAACAATAATATCAAAACAAAATATTACTACTAACTTTATTGTGAAATTAAAACAGAACGGTAAAATTATAATTTCCGGTCTATTCTGAGGCCCGATGTCTGTAGATAAATAAAGAACTACGACAGATGTGTAATATTTAATGCAGCCGAACCATTTATTACAATGCATTCATGTGATGACTTTCAAAGAGTAAAGCAAGCACTGCTGAATAAAGTATGATTTTATCTTTTACGAAACGTTTTTATTTCATATGGAATGCAGTTGGAGGTCAACCAATCACAGAGCTTGAGAACTAATCCCGCCCCCCCTCTTCCCACATTAAAAAAATTAAAAATAAAAAGATATATATTTAAAGAATATATATATTTTTTTTATTTATTTTTTTAATAAACAAGGTAAATATTATATAATTGGTATCAGTAAAATGTATAATCTACATTAAAATCTCGTTTAAAATTGTGTTACGATGTCTAAAGTTACTGATAAGTCACATGTTTCCTGCCTGGCCTTGCCCGTGTATCATTACCATAGACTGTATATATAAAGGATCATTACCCTCTCTGCACTTGCTGCACTCTCGTCTGGGCGCTGTAGCCCAGACGAGAGTGCAGCAAGTGCAGCACAAGCCAACTGTTGCTATCTTTAAACTATGCCGCCGAAACATAATTTCAGCCAATTAGCGTCATCAAATCTGATGGTCACAGGGCGCCTACGTCAGCGCCCGGTGCAGTCTGTGAGTTTTTTGGACTCGTATCCAAGGAGACAAAACAGGAAGCTGTCATACACTCTGGAAGCTATCATTAGCAGTTAATATGAAAACTCCGTTTTTGACATAAAAATTGAATTATGGATTATCAATAATTTTTTCAAAGTGACAGACACATTGGATTGACCTATGGATTAACCTTCAGCCGCGTTTTTCTGGTTAATAGAATAACAGCAAAAGGTGAGCATATCTCCGTGTTTTGCTACCTAAAGCTACATTGTGTGATGTCTGTATTTGCTTCCCCTGTCGCGAGTTCTGATCGCTCAGTGATGATACTTATATTTCTAGA